CCACCTTAGGTGTACGTGGCTGGCGCCCTAGCCGGTTGAGCCACAGGCGCTGAGCCCAAAATTTTTTCTTAATACGATCAACTGTGTTCAAATACCCTTGCTTGTCTATTTTTTTTTTAACTGTTGATTTGCTTAACTTAAGCACTGGACAAGTTTCATACATTATATTTGGTTGTTTATTTAAATCTTCCTTAATTTATAAGTTCTCTTTTTTTCCCTTTTAAGTTTACTATGTTAGAAATTTAATTGTTTGGTAAAGTTTCTACACATAGTATAGATTTTGTTGATTATATCATTGTGAAGTTATTTACCTTGTTTTTATGCCTCTTGCATATCCTATAATCAAAAAGGCTTGATCAGATTTGGGTTTCTTTCTTTCTTTTTTTTAGTGCCTTCTTTGAGTAGAATCATGCCTAACAGATGCTTAGAACTTCCAGATTTGGGTCCCCATTTATTCTTCAAAGACTATATATCTCCTATCTTAAATGGAGTATGGGGACCATGGGCCTACTTTAGTAAGAACAGTAATCTATTGGAAGTTAAAAGACCAGTTATGAATTAATTTGGTGATAAAGGCCTTTCTTCCTAATAATCTTGCTATTTTTCTAGTGTATCATCCATCTTCATTTGGTTGTTTACCAATATATGACATGTGATTTTATTTTTCAGATGGATACAGACATTTACAAGATTGTGGTGACCTGTGTTACAGTTAGAAGTTGGTGAGAAAGGTGAGGGTGGATAGTAAAAAGAGAGAGAGATCGTTCCAGCTGTCTGTTCCAGCTGGACCTCCCAGGATATAACATAGGTGAATGTAGATCCAGGGTCTGATCCTCAGATTGAGAAACCATTCCCACTGACAAAACTCTTAAGACTTAATGATTCCCCAGTTAGAATGTAAATGTATTAATTTATTGTAGTAAGTCTACCTAGGGTAAACAATGTGTAAATAGGAAGTTTCTTGATGAACATGGATAAGAACAAAGGAAGGTTGGGGTACTTGGGGTACTCTTTCATTTGGGTTGGTATAAGGCTTGGAGAATTTTTTCTGCTTCATCTTTAATTAGAATGCTTATCTTTGCCAAAATCTTGTCTCTTTTTCCTAGCCTGTAGAGGTGCCCTGATATTTTACTTCCTATATCCTTTTAAAGTTCCATGTAGTTTTCCTTGTCATGCCAGTTTTATTCTACTACTTGCCATATTGTTATATTATTTGTTCATGGTAGATAAAAGTGTAGTCTTATTGGAATATATTTATAAATCGTCTCTCAAGGGAGGTTTCTCATTTCTCAGATAGTCTCATTTTATACTGACTTATTGGCTCCAAATTCAGATGTCTCTTCATTTGGGAGAGGAGGCAACCCTATCTGAGGATTATAACTCCATATGTTCTTTTTTTTTTTAATCTTTTTATTTTTTTGAGACAGAGCCTCAAGCTGTCCCCCTGGGTAGAGTGCCGTGGCCTCACAGCTCACAGCAACCTCCAACTCCTGGGCTCAAGCAAGTCTCCCACCTCCACCTCCCAAGTAGCTGGGACCACAGGTGCCCGCCACAATGCCCAGCTATTTTTTGGTTGCAGCCATCGTTGTTTGGCGGGCCCTGGCTGGATTCGAACCCGCCGCCTTAGGTGTATGTGGCTGGTGCCTTAGCCACCTGAGCCACAGGCGCCGAGCCACTCCATATGTTCTTACAAAAAGAATATACAAGTCATTTATGTCAAAACCAAACTTTGAACCTTTATTTTTGGTGCTAAGGTAATGTTAATTGACCAAGATTGCCTATGGAGTGTTAGCAGTGAACAACAAAGCACACACAAACACACATTAGAGAAGTTAAACTTCTAGCTGCCTGGTTTCTGAAATAGTTTATCCTTTTATCTAACTACTGTTACAGTGGGCATAGGCTACGCTTTTAAAATTTTCAACATCAACATCTGTGCTTGTTTTTCTACTATACTGAGGTACACTGTGTTGCCTTGGTGATATGGACTAAATACATATGTTCCCTGCTTCCCCTGGGTCTGAGGCCTCAGATTATCAGTGTTAATCAGGATTTTCACTCTATGTGTGTGTGCCTTGTCATTTTCTAAACATTAAGTCCTGCGTGGAAGCCAATTCAAAGAAGTTAAACTAGCAGATGTATCAGTCTCTTTAGGCATTATGCTTGAAGGAAATGTTTAGTTTACCTATATTCCTGAAAGCTGAATACAGGGAAGGCCTGTTTTCTCTCAAGCAAGGTATCTCTAGTTAATTCAAAATTAATTTTGTACCAAACCAACTTATAGTCTAGCCATTTCTGTGTTTCTGATTCTTACTCAGCTGAAGTCAGTTCAGCTCAGTATTTATTAAATATCTACTAGGTTTTAGGTAATATGGCACAAAGAGGATTAATACATAAAGCAGTCCTTACCCATAAGGAGTTTCTAGTCTAGTGAGTAAAGAAAATTTACATTTTTTAAAAATCTGGGTAATGGTAACAGCCCAATACTAATTTATAAAGCCAGTAGGAATTTGCTAATACTTTTCCAGTTTCAGTTGTCAAAATTTGTAAATTACATGTGAACCAAATATAAAAATAGTACTTATATTGTATCCAATGTGAAGTTAAAAGAAAATCCAGTGGGCGGCACCTGTGGCTCAGTGAGTAGGGTGCCAGCCCCATATACCAAGGGTGGTGAGTTCAAACCCAGTCCCAGCCAAACTGCAACAACAACAAAAAAAAATAGCTGGGCGTTGTGGCAGGCACCTATGGTTCCAGCTACTCGGGAGGCTGAGGCAAGAGAATCACCTAAACCCAGGTTGCTGTGAGCTGTGACTCCCTGGCACTCTACCAAGGGTGACAAAGTGAGACTCTGTCTCTAAAAAAAAAAAAAAAAAAAAGAAAGAAAATCCAAATGTCTTGGAGTGGCAACAATTCAGTGTTCCAATCCATATGGTTGTCCTGTTGTCCAGTCAGTAGCATAAAGTCCTGGCCAATCCTCTAATAGCAGACTCTCTGTTACAGTGGTTTGGTGGTGTTCTGTTGGTTGTTACATTTTTCCTTTTTCTTTCTTTTCATTTCTTTCTTTCTTTCTTTCTTTCTTTTTTTTTTTTTTTGTGTGCATGTGTGTGTTCTGGACCCCAAACAAAAACAGCTGGATTTATCCCATGGTAGTCATGAATATTTCCAGTTTGAAAGATTTGATATTCCCCTAACAGTAGGTCATGTGGCATTTGTCAAACAATGATTATATCCAGCTAAATTCCCCCTCTATACAAATCAGTAATTGAGGATACAATAGTTCTTAGTATTTCAGAAGAAAATATAAGAATGGCAGTTAATTAAATTTGCAGAGGTATTTTATTATAACAAATATTTCATTTTTTTGTTCATGAGAATAATGTAGTAATTATCTAGTAATAGAAATATGAAATTAATGTATGCCCAAACAAAATGTGGTAAATATTTTAACTTTGTTTATCTAGGTTCCTTAATATTGAGAATATATCTCAAGGCTCTTCAAGAAACTCAAAATGATTCCAATTCCTAAAGGAATATCCACTAATTGTGATTTGTAGTGAAAGAAAAACAGTGAAAATGTATGCCCCCTATACCATTATAACCATCACTTCTGAGGTCTCAAGCAATGAGAAACTTAAAGTTATTCAATAACCTATAAAAATCAGGCCATTAAAATATATTTTGGAAGCTGTGCAGAACACTATTGTTTAATATATCGATCATAATTAAGGCAGTAAAAATTAGATGAAATATAATTGTACTCTTAATATCACAGTCTCATAGAAGCAGTTTCTTAAGAAATCATCCTGTCCCAACATGGAGACTGTGATGCATGTAAATGTATTATACTTTTTTATACCTATATGTATTTATACTTTGTATGTATACTTTTATTATATTTTTATAGCAGGTAAAAGAATGAGTAGATATTTTCAATTATAATATCAATTTGGTGAATATTATATTAAAACCCCTTAAGTGTTAGTAAAAGACCCCAACACCATCAAATCAGGAATGATTGAAAGCCAGTTTTTAAATTAATGTTGAGACTTTTAGACAGGATGGTTTGTCTCTAAAAGGTTGGTCTTTTAGAGAATTTAATTTACACATGGAAAGAGATAGTGGTGATGATTCAATATAATTTCTCCTAATAATACTGTGTTCATTAAGAACAGGTCATGGGAAGGGAAAACTAATAAAAACATCCAGACTCATTAGTATAATTAATATTTGCCTCTTAGAGTGAAAACTCCAAATTTTATCCTGTGAGAAATAAAAGGTGAATTAAGGAAATAATTTCTACTTAAAATCTTAGTTGTTACTGAGAATTACATGCCTCACTATTAATGTCTAATTCTAATTAAGTCGATTGTTTTGGTAATGTTTGTGAAATAAAACAAAGTAATGTAAGTGAAAACTGATGTTTCAAATGACTGAAAGAACTTGGATTAGAGGGAGGTGGGAAAAAGTGTGTAAAAACATCAGAGGTAGTTAACCAAAGATCGAACTTGTAGTCATCAATCTTATATGGAATATTATAAAACAATAGATGGTGATGGCCAAAATATAGCAGATATCTTAATATACAGGGGCCGTCTGGAAACTATTCAGCTATGTGTAAAACAGATACATACATGGCTGGATACTTAAGAGACAGGCCTTGTATATGAAATTGGTTTATCTTTTAGGCAAAAACAGAAAGCAAACAATCAAATTTATCAACCCATTCGCACACTCAAAATAAACTAGATTTCCATATTGTAAATGTTATTCTTGCTTTATTCCCCAATTTTAAAATACTTTAACTTTAGCCAATATGTAACTATAGGGGACGTGCAGGGCATAATAAATTGCTTCACTCCCTTCAAGTTCATTGTAAGATTCTCAGAACTCTACTACATAGATTTTAAAGATAAAAATACTTACCTTTTTCTTTCTAATTTTAACTTTTATCACAGTCTTGATTGTCAATGATAACTATTATCTTTCATTTAATCACATATGTGAAATAACCAATTTCTTCTAATTTTCACAAGCATGTGAACGAAAGATGGGGTTTTAAGGAATAAAACATTTGTCCTAACTAAGCACTTGCTTGGGGAAAGTGCTGTTTCTCCAGACACATGTCTTGAAAACGAATCAAATTCAGTTCCCTTTTTGCCTTGTGAGAATTCCATATTGGGAAGACTGCCAAGATTGGGCAACCCATTATCATTCTTACTAACTTCTGTTTCAAAAGGGGATGCTTTCTGTCTTTGTCCCCAAATTCTGGGGTTCTCCTTTTATTCTGATATATAAATGAAGCCCTGAGGCTTGGAAACTTGCCAACCAGTAAGTTCACCAAAGTAAGATGATTTTGTGATGAAACTGCATGTTAGTTTGATCCTGTCTATTAATAGTCCTTGAGTAAGCTTAAAGTTGAGAGAACTTTTAAAAGCAGTATGTACATTTAATTTTGCTTCCCTCGTTGGAGCTCAAAATGTCTGTTCCAGCATACTGTTTTTTTTTTTTTTTTTTTTAAGAGATAGAGTCTCACTTTGTCACCGTCGGTAGACTGCCATGGTGTCACAGCTCACAGCAACCTCCAGTGCTTGGGCTCAGGTGATCCTCCTGCCTCAGCCTCCCAAGTAGCTAGGACTATTGGCGCTTGCCACAATGCCCAGTTACTTTTTGTTGCAGTTTGGCTGAGGCTGGATTTGAACCTGCCACCCTCAGTATATGGGGCCGGTGCCCTTCCCACTGAGCCACAGGAGCTGCCCTCTGCATACTGTTTTAACAATTTTTCAGTTTCTAGTGATCTGAAAGATTTTGTATGCTCTTAATCTGGATACTTTTTTTCATCAGTTCTAATGCTGCTGCATTCAAAATTCATTTTTTTTTTTTTTTTGAGACAGAGCCTCAAGCTGTCACCCTGGGTAGAGTGCGGTGGCATCACAGCTCATAGCAACCCCCAGCTTCTGGGCTCAAGCGATTCTCCTGCCTCCACCTCCCAGGTAGCTGGGACTACAGGCGCCCACCACAATGCCTGGCTATTTTTGGTTGCAGCCGTCATTGTTGTTTGGCAGGCCTGGGCTGGATTCGAACCCATCAGCTCAGGTGTATGTGGCTGGTGCGTTAGCCACTTGAACCACAGGTGCTGAGCCCAAAATTCATTTTTTGAAGCCAAAATTCACTGTTCACATCTGGACTAGATTGGACAGGGTGAGGAGGTTGGGAGGAGAGTCCTTTCACCTTGTACGCTATGGACAGCTTTTTTAGACAGTAGACTTATCCAGGATTAGGAAAAGTATTTTTTTTAATGATTAAGTTCTTTTTAAAGTTTTCTTGTATAAGCATTTTAAATTTAAAAACGTTCAATTGAAATATATTTGAATATAGAGTAGAACAGCTTGATTTAGTGGAAAAACAGCATTCTCTAACACATCAAATTAGTATCTGTCTCCTAAACATCTTTCAGAAGGATCTGACTGGAGAATATTTTTCATTGGCATGGCTTTATTGTGTTTTAAAAATAGTAGGGGCTAAAATGTTATTAAAAACTTGGATGCTTACCCTGCACTTATATGTTGTGTTTCACAAGGTTAAAATTTTATATTTTATAAAATGTCTGAAAAGGAGTCTACAAAATAATTCTTTCTTGTTTCCAAATACAGAGGTCTGAGAGAAGGCATATGGCCCTGTTAGCTTCTGGTTGTTAAAAAGAATTCTCTCTCAAGTACCCAGTGTCCAGATACATTTACTGGGATACAGGAATCTCATTTACACAACAGCTTTTGCTGATAAAAAGAGAAACCTCTTGATTAAAGTGTGGGGAGATAGAAGTCATACCAATTTGGGCAATTCTACCCCCCCAAATGTCTAATTTGCTGTGAAAGGGGAGCATGTTAAAACTAATGTTCTTAAAAGCAACTTATGAATTTCTCCTTAAAAATTTTATAAAACTGTTTTAGGAAAAGCTGTTTTATTGCATGGCACAGATTAAATGTACAGATGTTATCTTGAAAACTATTAAGGAATTCCCTTGTGAATTTGAATATTCAATACCAACTATTATTCATATCAATATTTTAATATTTTACCATAATAAATACAAAGGAAGGATAAATAATATTTAGCTGTTTAGAGTCCTAGTTAAACTTGTTCATATGAATAAGAGGTAAAGGGAAATAACATTCTTAAATGCCTACTACGTGTACTAACTATACGTAAGTATCTTGCCCAATCTTTATTTTTTTTTACAATGACTTAATGAGGCAGATTTTAATTCTCATTTTACAAATGAGGAAACAAAGGCTCAGAGAGGTGGTATAACTTTCCTGAAGATAGATAGCTAATAAATGGCAGAATTGGAATTTGAAAAAAAAATAATTGGAATTTGATCTAAGTCTGGCTCACTGCTAAGTCTGTTTTGCAGAAGACTCTCCTCTTATATTTTATAAACTGCTAATCTGCCTACATTTGAATTATATTTATGGGTTATTGGAGAGAGGTATAAGTTGGCAAGCCTCTATGGGAAAAATGTGGATATAATTTGAATGAGATGAGTGGGATGCTTTCATGGTGTCTTATTTGTATTGCTGAGGAAATGTTTTTGTTTCCCTCTTCAGCAACAGAGCATAAAGTAGGAGGATGTTTTGAATTGAAGTCAGTGGGATCTGAACTTTTTCTATTATTAGTTATCTTCAAGCCAGGTCATTTGTGACCATTTAAAGGTTGTGTTATTTAAAAGCCTTTGCTAGATCTCTAGGAAAGGATGTTAAGAAGGAGGATTATTAAGGAGCATGGCAATAAGGATGTAGAGTATAATGAGCTAAATGAGGATTAGCAGGTTGCTATGAGATGGGGAAAGGATTAGTGAATATTAAAATCAATGATAGGAGCAGTTTTGATTCAGTTATAATTTAAGAGGAAAAGTTGAGGGGCCTAATCTATATTTTGCTCCAGATCCAATTATTTAATTTTGAGCAGGAAGATGCAGTGATTGAATTCATGCATGGAGATGGTCTGGGGATTACTAAAAGGTTGCAGTTACCATTGCAAGAAAATTAGAAAAATAAATACAACTTTTAGAAGAAACTTTAAGTTTTTTGTACTTTACATTTAACCCTGGGAGTCTTATACTTCTAGAATTGCTTAGACTTGTGCTGTCAAAATATGGTAGCCACTAGCCATTCATATGTGGCTACTGAGCACTTGAAATGTGACTAGCCTGATTTGAAATCTATAACTGTAAAATACATCCTAGATTTCAAAGACTTAATAGAAAACCATGTAAAGTATTTTTTCTGTTGATTACATGTTGAAATGACAATATTTTGGATATATATGGGTTAAATAAACTACATTACCAAAAGTAATTTCACCTGTGTCTTTACTTTTTCAACACAGCTACTGGAAACTTTAAAATTATGCATGAGGCTCACATTATATTTCTTTTGGATGGCACTGGATGGGCTGGAGAATAGGTCGTATTCCCTGAAGCTTTCTTTTAGAGGCAGTGCTTTACAGTGGTAAATATGGAAAAGAAGATTCTCAGTGCCAGTATTCAGTCTTCCATCAAGGCAGGTACAGTTTTTCCCTCTTCCCCTCAGATGGTATTGTGGTGGTATTTTGACGATTATAACATTCCCATTTGTTCAGCACTTTGGGTACATAGGTAAATGTGTCAGTCACTCAATCAAAGCACTTTTTTTCCTCATAGAAGTCTAATACATAAAGGGTAGTTATTCTTTCTTTCTATGTCTTAAGATCTGAGTGTCTTTTTTCTTTTATTTCAGATTAATATAAGGGTATGTGTGATTAAGTTACATTGCCTGTGTTAGGAAAAGTCTGGGTTGCATTTGAATCTTTTCTTTAAAACTATGTTTTTTCACTAATTTTCATGTTATCCTTGTACAGGGCCCATGCTAATCTCTGCATCATCACAATTTTAATGTATGTGCTGCTGAAGTGAGCACTAAAATCTGAGTCTTACTTTTAAGTCATGCTCTTTCTGGCAGGGCTATTGCAAAATTGCCAATACAACGGCATAGCCAATTTGGCTATTTTTGCTTGGTATCAGTGAAAAATATGCCAGAAATGCAAATTAATGTGGGTTAAAAGAAATAGCATTTATCAAATTTAGGAATTTAAGACAAAAGGACTGCTATAGTCTAATAATAAATTATGGCTTGTCTATTGCTTATGCAAAACTTATGTAAAATGATTGACTCCCTATAATGAATCATGAGTTTGGGCTCTTTTCGCTTTCTACAAACCGCCAGGCCTAGTGTTAACTTCATAGATACTCAATTTATAGGGTGTCCCAAAGTTTGCCCATAAAGACACCATACATAGAGAAAATGGGAAATTTTAGCTAAATGTACCTTTATTTACAAAATACTTAGAAAACATTTTCTACATATTGGCCATCTCTTTCTAAAATTTTATATTTCGTAAATGAAGGTACATTTAGCTACATTTCCCATTTTCCCTATGTATGGTGACTTTATGGGCAATATTTACTGCACCTTGTATATGAGAAAAATTACAGCATATAGACCCCACACTAATAAAAGTGGGTTTTTATTTTGTTGTGGTAGAGACCCTAGGTATATACTGTCATTTTCATATTTTCCAAACAAGTCATTTTCCTCATACTTTCAGTGCTCTGTAGTATTCTATCTTTGATGATATTAGAATTGAGTATGGTTAATTACATTTGGAGGGAATCTTTTTTAAGGGGAGGAGTTGGTAAACATTTCTGAATTTTCTTTGAATGCCAAATGAAAGCTAATTTCTCTAAACATACGCTTTTCAAGTAACCACACAGGCATGCACTGAATCCACTTGAGAAGTTAGCCTATATCAAAAGGAACACAATGTTCTTAACAATGAAACGAGCTGTATATCTAGACTCTGCATTCAGCAAATTTTCTAACAGAGGTGTTCCTTGCTTTATGGAAACCCAATAGTTTGTTTAAATGCATTATAAGAAAATCTGGGTATTATAAATCAAATTTAAAACATAAGCAATCTTAACTATATGCAAAAAATGCCAAATGGCCTAAATCTATATTTTGTTTAAGATTCAAACAAATCAATTTTTTTTTGAGACATGAGTCTCACTAAGTCACCCTCAGTAGAATGCTGTGGCATCTCAGCTGACAGCAACCTCAAACTCTTGGGCTTAAGTCTGTGGTTCTCAACCTTCCTATTGCCATGATGTATTTTCACTGTTACAAAGGTTTTGGGACCCACAGGTTGAGAACTGCTGGCTTAAGTGATTCTCTTGCCTCAGCCTCCCAAGTAGCTGGGACTATAGACGCCCACCACAACACCTGGCTTTTTTGTTGTTGTTGTTGCAGTTGTATAGCTGGCCTAGGTTGAGTTCAAACCCTCCACCCTCAGTGTATGTGGCTGGCACCCTACTCACTGAGCTATGGGTGCCGAGCCAAGATTCAATGGTTTTTTTTTTTTTTTTGGCTAAAAAACACATTTATTTCACACTTCTGTAGCTCAGAAGTCCACGTTTTACCTCATTGGGCTAAAGTCAAGGTGTGGGCAGGGCGGGAGCTCTGGAGAAGAATCCGTTTCTTTGCCTTTTTCCCATGTCTAGGGGCTGCCTGCTTTCCTGGGTGGAGTGTGAAGCTTCAAGATTCAATATTTTAATTTAGTGAAGGAAGATCCAGTGAGTGAACTCATGGAAGGAGATGGTCTGGAGCCTGTTAAAAGGGAGATTGCAGTTTCCACTGCATTTAAGACAACCAGAAAAATAAATGCAACTTTAGAAGAAGCTTCTCTCATTCACATCTCAGTTATATATGGGGTCTTATACTTCTAGAATTACCTTTAGACCTGTGCTATCCAAAATGTTAGCCACTAACTATATGTAAAGTACATTCATAACCATGATCAATTGCCATTAGACCTCCATTCTTTCCAACTCTGCTGAATAAGAGTGGGGTTAGGGTTATAGTTTTTGGGTATTGAATATATTATTTTTTAATGTAAAGCTAACATCAAATCTGTAACCATCACTTCAGTAGTACTATTTTCCATGTTACCAATTCAGATTTTATATATAATACTGGGTACAAATGAATTTAAAGAGATAGCATATTTAAGACAACATTTTATTAAAAAAAACCCTCATGTATAAAAATATTATCAAGAGCACCAATTTTCTTTTAAAAAGCAATGTTACCTTACTTAGCACTCATTAGCAAAACAATGAAGTGCATTCTCTGAAATTTACTGTGATATTTTGATACACTAAAGATAAAAGCAAGAAAAAAATTTTAACACTGGTATTGAGGGCAAGGTGGCACATATTATAAACTGTCATACTCAGATACTGTTCATCACTGTACTCACATGGAACACGAATTAATCTATAGTAATTGCATCTGATATCACATATTAGGGTGCTTAATAAAGGGGTTTAATTATTCTTCAAAATTAACAATACTTTGGGTGGGCGTGGTGGCTCATGCCTATAATCCCACCACTCTGGGAGGCTGAGGTGGGTGGATTGCCTGAGCTCACAGGTTCAAGACTAGCCTAAGCCAGAGACCCCATCTCTTAAAAAAAATAGCCGGATGTTGTGGCAGGAGCCTGCTGTCCCAGCTACTTGGGAGGCTGAGGCAAGAGGATCACTTGAGCCCAAGAGTTTGAGGTTACTGTGAGCTATGATGTCATAGCATTCTACTGAGGGTGACAAAGTGAGACTATCTGAAAAAAAAACAAAAAACTTCATCTTACCCAAAAACCCTAATGAGAAAAATCAGAGAAATTTTAAAGTGTTTTTATACACTACTTTGAGGATCAATAATTTCAAACCCAAGGCCCTCTTGAGGAAATTATCTTTTTGGTTAAAGCTGTAGGAGACCATTAACAATATGAGGCTAGTTAACAGGAAATATTGGTCTCTTAAAATGTCATGATCTCATATTCCACAGGGGCTTTTAGATCTGACTTAATACAGCATGTGCTGGCTAGATTATGGGACAAGCGAGCCCCAAGTATCCCACACATTTCTAAGTACAGGAGCTTTGCGTCCACCACTGGGCTAAGTTTCTGGATAGTCACTGAAGTTAGGCAAATGGATGGTAATCCAAGGTAGATAAGAGATTAGAGCTTCCACACCAAACACAGATATGGTATAATTATGAACATAGAAAAATGTCTCAAAATTTGAACAAGGAAACAGAAACCATGGCAGACTCAACTCAGCTAAGTGAAACTGTCAGATGTCCAAAATGAATTCTTCAAAGGAGATTTCTTTCTTTTCTTTCTTTCTTTCTTTTTTTTTTTTTTGAGGCAGAGTCTCATGTTGTCACCCTCGGTAAGAGTGCCATGGTGTCAGGTGACACCTGTGGCTCAGTGAGTAGGGTGCTGGCCCCATATACCAAGGGAGGCAGGTTCAAACCTGGCCATGGCCAAACTACAACCAAAAAAACAGCCCATTGTTGTGGCAGGTGCCTGTAGTCCCAGCTACTAGGGAGGCTGAGGCAAGAGAATCCCCTAAGCCCAAAAGCTAGAGGTCGCTGTGAGCTGTGACACCACAGCACTCTACCCAGGGCGACAAAGTGAGACTCTATCTCTTAAAAAAAAAAAAAAAAAAAGAGTGCTATAGTGTCATAGCTCACAGCAACCTCAAACTCTTGGGCTCAAGCAATCCTCTTGCCTCAGCCTCCTGAGTAGCTGGGACTACAGGCGCCCACCACAACACCCAGCTATTTTTGGAGACAAGTCTCCTTCTGGCTCAGGCTGGTCTTGGAACTCCTGAGCTCAGGCAAGTCACCCAGTTCCGCCTCCCAGAGTGCTAGGATTACAGGTGTTAGCCATTGTGCCCAGACTTCAAAGGAGATTTCTACAGATTTCATTAGCCTAGCAGGAGTACATAAATCTCCACTGATACATTTTTATCTAAGTTATAGCTGAACTTGATTAACTGGGAAAAAACAGTTAAATGATTAAATTCTTCATAGTCACCACTCCAACATCATTATCTGCATACTGACGTATAGAGAATTATACTAAAATTGTGTAAGCTAAGGAATGCCACAAAATTAGCTCCTGGGAACATTACTCAACCTTTGCAAGTCATTTTCACTTCTCTCAGGGATCAATATCAATGTTCATCCTAACATTTCCTTAATTGCTTGATTTTGTACTTCAAGAAAGCAAATCCATTGGCTCTTGGGGAAGTTAGACCATAAATCAACATTAGAAGTAAATACACAAAAAGTTTTACTTTAATCACAAATTCAATAACTTAGCTAAAAAGACAATAAATTTTCAACCTATCAGCAAAACTGTGCCATACAGATTTTAATGTTTATAATTTACCACATAAATACAATATTTATAAATATATACTTTATCTGCAAAATTATTATTCTTAAAACATTTCTCTCCCATGCATTTACAGTTTTCATGTGTTTTAAGAAAAAAACCACACCCCTTTAAAAATGTACTAAATTTTAGACAAACTTTAATATGATTATACTAATGCCACAAAATTAGAAAAAAAGAAAAGAAACATACAACTATATTGGATGTGTAGTCATTACTACAGATAATAACACATATCCTATAGGTTAATCATATACATACTCTTGTTCCACTTCTCAGTCATTGTCAGAACCATTTGGAGGTAAGAAAACCAATGCATCATTAAAAACATGCCCAAATGCCCTAAGACGGTATACCCCATACATCATCACGTGCATTTGATTAGGAGTTAGTCCATTAAAAGTAACAGCCATATCTGAACAACATCCTTCTACTACCTGGTTGGGGTGATTAGTCATTGCCTCTTTAATAAACAGACCAACAGATTTGGCATTAAATATATCCTTCCCATCAGCATCTTCTGCATTTTCTGCAAACACTCCAGCATATTTCAGGCAAACTGCTAGCTGCTTATCTTCAGGTATCTTCCAGATCATCCCTCCCTGTTCAGGACATTTTT